GCAGTGTAAGTACTTTGGGGTGGCTCTTGCAGATGCTTGGCTGATGGAGCGTGAAGCTCCCTGAGCTTGCAACTTGCTTGTAGCCACCAGAAACATTCCTGCCTCTAACCTTGGAGAAAACTTCCTCCCTGCTCAACCACTCTTTCTACATGCTCCAATTCCCTTTGTGAGAGTGTGGAGGGTCTGATGTGTCGTAGAGCAGGTCATGGGAGCCAACATTTCCTAGAGAGATCTGGGAAAGAATTTCTCCCATGACCGTCACATTGCTATTGCATGCAGCACAGCCTGCACTGTTAAATTCTGCTCTGGTTGAACATCAACCCGTCCCTTGATCTCCTCTTTGGCAGCTCTCTCTCTTCTCTGCCTCTAATAAAACTAATGTAAAGGTGGTGCTGGTGAAAGTGTCCCTTTGACCATGAAATGTGGTGGGGCTGAGTTGAGCACCGCGAACAGGCGGCTGTTGATGATACAGTCAAAGCTTGGAAACTTGTTCAAGCTTTTGAGCAAAGTGCTCCACTTAGGCTCATTAGCAGTATAACCACACGTTGCCTGCCCAGCTGCCTCTGCCAGGGGAACTTCCTGCTCTTTCAAGGTCTTATCAATAGTTGCTGTGTCGAAAATGAACCCAGGGGATGGGAGCAGGGAGCATGAGTCACAGCTGGCTGTCTCCTCTCGACAGGACAGAGAAAAATGTGTTTTCTGCCATACAGTAGCTGCCTGTTGCAGCATTGCTCTGTTCTCAGCTTTAAGCATGTCCTTACCAAGCCAGCTCATCTCAGTCAAAACCTCCTCAGCCTGCAGGAGGGTCAGCCTTGCCTGGGTGGGAGTGTGGCTGCAGCTCGCCAGGCTCCAGATGCTGCTGCTTCTCCTGCTCTTGAGAACTTGTGGCAGAGGAAGACCTCAGTACACTGGGGAGGGCTGTCCACGGCCTTCAAGCAAAGATGTAGGATGATGTTAGGCAGATGCTCGTGGAACACTTACCCTGACTGCTGGCTGGTGCTCAGCCAGGCTGTGATCTGGGGGGATATGTTGGATGTGACTGGGAAATCTCATGGTCCCTCTAGGCTGGAGATAGCCTGTTCCAGGAGGTCTGCTCCAGCACTGTGCAATTGCATCCGCTGAGACTTGTCTGTAGGTCTGGAGATGTACCTTCTCATGGGACATCAGCTACTTCAGGCATTTGTCAGAGGTGTTCCCTCTGTAAAAGCATAAGCAAATGGGTGGTGAAAAGTATTCACTGCCTAATTCTTCCTAGGACACTATTCCTCCAGTAAAACCTATCCAGGTCCTGAGCAAGGAAGGGCAAAGGAGAGCTTTTCAACAATTCACAGGGGGGCCCTCTATTCCTGTTTCTGGTGTCTTCATAGTCCCTAATCCATCTTCCACCCACATTCCTGCAGAGAAAGCACTCATGTTTTACTGCCCACAGAAAAGATCTTGTTTGGTAGCTTCTGGAGGGGCTAACTATTTCTGCTATGTGGCCCCTGACATGTCTTCCTGCTGCCTGGAACTGTCTGATTGCTGTAGCTTGTGAGGTTGTCTTCTTATCACTGCTCACACATTGTTTTGGGGTGTTTGTGTACATTGCTTTTTAATTTACTGGCCTCTGCTCATGGGACCCAGCCCCTCAAAGAAACACCAGGCATTAGACCCTGATGACCACTGACTCTGGCCACATAGCAAGGTTTAATGTTCTTTTACTTGTATTTTGCCCAGCAGCTTAAGCCATTATATGTTACTAATAGGTTAACATTTAAAGGGAATTTATCCCTGGATCAGTTGTCTTTCCAGTGAAATACATCCTAGCCTAGAAATCTTCTACAGCTGGACAAGAAATTTATAATTCTTTTTCATCTCTAACATACCCTATCCCTGCCTTTTTCTTTAATTCACAGAGCAGTTAAATGTGAATCTACTGTGAGTTACTGAGTCTGCCCCAGTCTCTGCACTGCAGTGCTCTCTCAGAGAAAATATACAGCTCCTGGTAAGATGGTGGGAAATTTATTCCTTTTTATCAGTAGCATTATAAAGCTGTTGTGGAAAGAATGTAAGCTGGTCAAAAGAGTGTGGTATGGTGAAAAACAAAGGGTCTGTGGTTGAGGAGGAGGTAGAATCAAGAGAGTTCAGGATGACACAATCCCCTTGTTCCCCCTCTTGGCAGGAGGAAGAATATTCCTCATCCCTAATCAAAACCACACTTATCTCCCTCTGACCAGTACTTGTGAGCGGCTACAAGCCCAGGCTGGGATTCAGAGCAGCAGAAAGGATGGAACCCTTCCCAGTTCTCCACTTCTCCACACAGCACTGCTGCCTGGTACCAGTAAAAGGAGATCCTCCGTCAGCTGGAGACCGAGTTGTTTGTGCAGGTCTCAACAAAGAGCAGTGCAGCTGAAGATAGCAGCCATGAGCTTCTCAGCCCATGGGCAGGACTTGGCAGCACGCTGGAAAGTATTTTCAGTGCAGAGATGCCCCTGATAGTGTCGCGGCCCAAGGCAGGGCAGTTCTGCTTTGCTTGCATGGTTCCCAGTTCACTCCAGTATAACAGCAGTGCTCGCAGACAGACCAGCTTTGGCCCAGGTTTATTCATCTGTAACTGCTGAGCGGTGCTGCAGGCTGCGTGTGAACGGATCATCTGCTCGCAGCCCGGAGCTGACAGTTAGGGTAAACCCTCTTTTTGAGCTGCAGCCACTTTAGGGGCAAACACACCCTCACCAACCAAAAGAGGAGCAGCACATCGAGGGGCCAAATGAATATTAACCCCTCCGAGCTTGTGCACAGGTCTCTGCCCGCTCTGGGGCTGATTTGTGGGTTGGGGGGCATTGCTACGACAGCCGATGGCAAGAGCTGTAAGCGCCCTGCACACTCCTGGGGTGAGTGTGCCCTGCAGGTCCAGCTGCAAGGGCAGCTCCCTTCACCTCCTGCATCCATCCTACCTCCTCTGCCTTCCTCTTCCAGGCTAGGAGTTGTTTACAACACAATCTACATAACATTTGGTTTCAACTCTTGGTTCAACGTTGCACAAAGACCATTTTCAGTATTCTCCCTGAGTTAGCAGATGTTCTGAATTTGGTGTGGAAATGTGTTACAGTTAAAGAGAATTCATATGATTAATGATTAATGCTGCTATCTAAATAATTACCTCATTCAGCCAGTTTTTCATCTGGCTTTGCGAGAAAATATGCATGAAAAAATGAGGACAATATATTCTTTCTGTATTACTGCATATATGGAATCACATTTCTTCTAAAGAGAAGAAAGCAAACTTATTTAAGAAAATAAATAACTGACAAGTTTCCACAGTGCTCGTGCATACATGTTATCTGCAACATTTATCCAGGACCACAGCCCCCCTGAAGCCCGCTCTGCACCATTAGAGACCTGATGCTTGGGGAAAACCCTCCTGATGGAGAATGTGCATTGTTATATACATTGAAAAATCTAAAGTTTCAGGTGTAGATTATGTGAGTTGATAAGCAAGCACCTCATATCAAATTTCTATAGGCAATTTCTAGACAAAAGCTCCCTTCAGCCACTTGGTGATAAGGTTTCTTGTGTATATGTGCATGCACATAAGGGGACATTGTTTTAAGGTCTTTTTGTGGAAAATATTCATTTATCAATGGAAATTAAAATGCTAATTATTCAAGCAAAAATTTTAAATATTTATATTTTCAGACAGTAACTTGGCATTCAGGATTCCTTGTTTATGAACTATCAACATTTTCTGTAGTTACCAGAATATGTAGACAAAATACATTTCAGCAAAATTCAATCTGGTATTCCAGGAAGGCAGTGTAGCAAACCTGATGCCAATCTTTTTAGAAAATGTCCAAAACTGATCCGAGGAACTGCTATCTGCAGAAATCTGACCTCTATAGAACTAAATTCCCTTTGGGCTCCAGTAAACCAGAGCCAGATGAGACAGATGTATATGTTCGGTGGTGAAGGGCCAACGCATCTTTAGCGGAGCAAAGTCATGCCCCTGAAGTCCAGGAGGAGTTTTCTGATGGAGTCAGTGAGCACAAGGATATCGGGGATCTGGTTAAGGACCAGAAGGATGTCCTGCTATTGAGTGGCTGGGTGCTATTCAGGCGTAAAACATTAGATTTACTAATTGGAAGTGCCACACAGGAGGCACAACAGCCAGGCTGGGCTCAAAATCAGGTATGTACCATTCGAGAGAGCTCAGTCTTTAGCAGCAATCAGAAAGTCATGTTAGGAATTGTCAGAAAAGAGTGTGAGATCAAAACAGAAAATATCTTTATGCTGCTGAGTTCCTGCTTCATTCATATCACTTGTGGTTCTGGCTGCCCAGTTCAAAGATTTAAAAAAAAAAAAAAAAAAAAAAAAGACTGAGGAGGGTGAAAAGGAACATCCTGCAGGAAAGGGGAAGCAAACAAAGCTGGGCTCCTGACTCTGGGCAAGACAGGGCTGAAGGAGAAGCAGGTAATAGAGGTGTAAAAATACTGTGAATGTTATATAGATGGAAGGGGGTAGGGAGCAATTGTTCATTGCTTGACAAAATACAGGAATTTGGAATATCTCTTGAAAAGGTAATATAGAAATTGGGGATATCTCTTGAAAAGGTAATACAGAAATCGGAGGTATCTCCTGGAAAGATGAGGCACTGTGATTTCAATGTGTTTTACTCTTTATTTCTGGACTTATATCTTTAATTTAAGAGTTTATAGCACTCTTGCTCAAAATCCCTGCTTTTCCCCCTTCATACAGAACCCCCCGTCCCGTTGCTGGCCGAAGGGGCGATGCTGCTTTTCCCGCTCCTCTGTGACCCCAACCCCAGCGCCAAGCCGAGCCCGCTCCGACCCCAGTTACCTGACAGCCGGCACCATCAGCCCCAAGAGAAACACCCGCGCCGCGTGTGTGTGTGTATGTCCCCACTCCCACTCCTGACCCGGACCCTCCCCACGCCGGCCCCGGTGTCTCCCCCCGCCGCCGGCCCCTGCGCGGCGCCTTTAAGCCGCGGTGCGTGATGTCACCGCGGCCGCGAGACACGGTGCGGCGGGGCTGCGGCGGGGAGCGCGGCTCCGTGGGGACCCCCCAACTCAGTGGGGACCCCCTGCCCGGTGAGGAACCCCTCCCCGGTGGGGACCCACCGGGGGCCCCTTGCCCGGTGGGGACCGCTGTCCAGCGGGACCCCCTGCTTGTTGGGGACACCCTTGCTTGTTGGGGACCCCCCCACTCTTTGGGGACCCCCCCACTCTTTGGGGACCCCCCCGGTCGTTGGGGACCCCCCCGCTCTTTGGGGACCCCCCCGGTCGTTGGGGACCCCTTGCCCCGCCGGCGGGGCGGTCTCGGCGGCACATCATGGGCAGCCTCCAGCTGCAGGACTTCGCAGCGGGCTGGGTGGGCGGTAAGTGGTGCCGTGGGTTGAGGCGGGGGTGGGGTGGGAAAGGCAGGGAAGAGGGGACGGAAGAGTGCGTGGGAATAAAATCCTCCGTGTCACCTACGGTCTGTGCCTCCCGCCGGCGTGCTCGCACGCGCGGATGTGCGGATTGCTTTACTTTCGCTCAGAAGTGCAGCTTAATCCAATTTCCACGGGCAGGATACTTAAAATGTAAGTACTGGGACGTGGGATGCTGCTGTGAGCCCAGGGGGGTGGGGCCGGCTGCCAGAGCCCCTCCACATGCCCCCCTGGCCCCACCAGCTCTCCCTTCCCTGCCCTCATGGCTGGAAGCACCGTGGGGGCTCGCAGGAGCCAACCCGGGGTCCCCCAGCTGCACACACCCCCGGGAGAGGCATCGCCTGGCCTCGACCCCACGATCCCAACACGGCAAACAGGCTGATGGCCAGGGCTGTGATGCTGGCAGAGTGGGGGGTATTGATCCAGTCTGTTGAAAATGCTGATTGCGAACTTATGGAAAAGAGATAGCAGAAAGAAAAAGGGAAAGTGAGCACCTGTAGAGGTGCCAAGTACTACAGTACATTTTACAGAACTGAAAATTCCCACTGGGTTTCACAGCTGGCAGGGTGCACGGTGAAGTTGCCCTGCTCCTGGGGGGGCTGCAGGGCAGAGGGACAACCGTGACACCGGCCACCACAGACCAGAGCTCTGCCCAGGCTCAGGCCAGGCTCGGGAAGAGGGTGTGAGATGGCTCACGGACCCTGACTGACCAGACGAGGTTAAGAGGTTAGGTGACTATAAAAAATCCAGAACCTTTGCCAAAAGGTTATGTGAGCAGCTGCTTTTTGGATGGTTGCAGCCTGCGGAGGCTGTGCAGGATGCAGCCGCTCCCCGCTGACCCTTGTGCCATCGCCACACACCCCCGGGAGTGGGACAGGACACTGGGGGGGTGAACAGCCACCAGTTTTCATGCATAGCACTGGACCACAGGTGATCTCAGGTTAAAGTCCAGGAGGAGAGGGGACATTTTATAATACATTTTTTGAGTAAAGTCAGAATGTGTTGACCAAGGACATGATGCTCTTTTCAGTCCTAACCCACTACAAGTGAGAAGTTTCATGTAGTCTCTGAAGCACTGGGGGACACTGGTTTGCATGGAGACTTGCAGATGGGGAAGCAGCACAAACTACCCACCATCTCCACAAACACCCTAAAAACTGACGGCTTTGTTTGCAACAAGCACATAAAACCATATCCTGGCCACGGCACATGGGTTGCTCCATCCTCCTAGAGAAGGGGCAAACCAAGCTGTGCTCTGCCCTGCTGTGGGGGCTCCTGGCAGTAAGCGGCATGGGTAAGTGGGCAGGATGGGAATGGGGAATGGGCTGGTTTCTCCCAGAGAACCATGGGGAACGTGGCTGGATGGGTCTGTAGAGATCGATGCAGAGCAGGATCCTCTTTATCTGAATGATAGGTATCACTATAAACTGCTCTTAAAATGGAAAAGGATGGAGGTTCACCATTCCCATCAGCAGTCAGCATCCCTGTCTGAGCCAGGAGAAAGCATTTCCTTGTGTCTAACCGGAATCTCACTGTTTTGAGGCTAAAAATCTGCATGAGCTTACAAGAGTGCAAAAGGGGTCGTTCACGGACAGGACATACAAATACAACACCTCCTCCTCTTGCTTAGATGCCTTTGAGATGTGAAGTTGATGTAGTGCAGGAGAGTATTCAAGGAAAGATGTGCAAGCGTTTCTGCCCAGCTTCTACCTGTTGTCAGAGACAGGGCATTGCTCTGGCTTGGCCCAGTACAACTGTTCCTATAGAAATCTCTCCTCCTCCCCTATAAAACCATTGTTTCCTGTCCCGTCACAAAAGCTTTTTCAATGTTTTGCGTAATACTTTGCTTTCATTCCCAGGAGCTGCCAGTGTGGTTGTGGGTCACCCCCTGGACACCATCAAGGTAAACCACTTTGAACTGTGCTCTCACATCACCACCCAAAAATCCACCGACAGGGAGGTGGTCTCTCTCTAGATGATGCTTCACTTCCCCCATCACCCCAAGGGGAAATTTAGCCTGTGTAAAAATGTTTTCACAGACTTTCTTCCTCTACAATGCTTGTTTTGAACAAAAAACTAAAAGAGCTAGCTGATACGTGCAGGTTCCTCTGGTGAGATTTAATGCTGAAAATTAAACCTGGCCTTACTTAATGGGTAGTTTACTGAACAGTTCTGCTAATGTTTTATTGAACATTGCCACAGACAAGTATCCAAAGGGCAACAGGGGAACTATATTTGTTTTGCTGCAAGCACATTTTTATGTGTTTTCCTAGAGTTAGCAACGCCGGAAGGGCAGAGTGCTGAAATTGTTATCCCAGGGCTATGAGATGCAATTTTTACTATTCTTGCAAGACAATTGAGATGGAAGGATTTAGAGATGTAAGAAGATATTGGCTAGCACAACGCAGGCAAGCCCATGCACACACCGGTAAAGCCTGACCCACCAAGCTGGCCGTCCCTACTGATGCAGAGATATAGAGGAAGATCCTGTTCCTTTCCCTTTTTGTACAGTGTGAAAGGCATCTCTGGCCAGCTTTCATTGCTTCAACCACCCTGCCCATGTGCTCTGATCCGGTTCAAGCCTTGTTGCTGGCACCAGACAGGGCTGTCAGATGTGGCAAACCCAAGAGCCAGTGGTCCTGTTTGCACTTTAGAGGCCCTTGGAGGGCGACGGGGAGGAGGCAGGGTCCAGCACGGCCCATGCCACATCTGTTCCCCAGCCATCACAGCCTTCCCCTGGCACACAGCCAGCTCTCCTGGGATCAGGATATGGTCTGCCAGCCCTGTCTTTTCTGAGCTGCTGCTACCAGGTGATATCAGCCCCGGGAGCATCTCTATGCGAGGATGGGTGCAGGCCCCACGTGGGGGGAGATGCAAGGATGCCCGCACCAGCCCAGCGGTGGGCAGGGCCGGGGCATGGGCAGTGCAGGCCAGGGTTTCCAAGGCAATCCCCATCTCAGGCTGGCCGTCAGAGCGTCATTGCCAGGTCTGGGGGAGTTTGGCAACAACTGAGAGAGGATCCTGCCGGGAAGCATTGAGTTTCTGGGTGCCAAGAAAGAGCGAGCCCATCCTTCAGTGCTTACAAAGACAACTGTCAGGCTGACCCCTCTGTTACCCTTGGCTTTCGACATTGGCTGGGAATACCAAGTAGGCAGACTTGTTATCTTTCCAAATGTTGGGGAAGTAAGTGGAAAGGAGAGTTTTTATGCAGCAGTAAGCCAGCAAAGGGGCAGCTCAGTGGCATTCGCAGCATCCAGGGGACAGGGGGTCCTTCCCCACCTGGAGGAGGAGGCAGGACTGAATGGGAGGTTGGATGGGGTATGTGGTATCCACACCACAGTTCCCATGAAGCAGACCTTCTCCTTCAGCTGGCCCCTTCCCAGCACCACAGCTTCCATCAAACCCAAGCATCTGTTTTTTCCATGGCCTTGCAAAACTCTAAATAGTTTTACATTTACTCACTTTTCATCCTCCACAATGCATTCATTTCCCCAGAACCTCCTTCAGATTCTGGGTGTCACCCAGGAGCCCTATTGTACTAAATGAAATGTAACAGAAAGGAGAAGTTTCCGGAGGAATATTCATACTGGTATCAGTTGACAGAGATGTCAGCAGGGATTTCAGTGCTGGGTGTTAACAGCATAGCTAAGGGGCATGTGTGCGAGGATCAGTTTGTGAGGACACTTGGTTGCCCTCATTTACTCAAAAAATGTATTAACTTGAACCTCTGAATACCTGGTTACTGTGTAAAAAGAAAAAAAAAAAACAAACCAAACAAGCCCATGGAGGCAAAACGGAAATGTCTGGGCTAAGCATTCAGATGAAGCCAGGCGGGAACGCAGGGCTGTGCACCGTGGTTGCGCTGTCCTGGGCTGCTCGGGGTGTACCCAGCCCCCCTGCCAGTCCCCCCCAGCCCCCCGTGAGTCATGGTGTGCACCGGTCTGCACCCACGGCCCGGGCCTGCCTGCGTTGCACAACGTGAGCTGCAAGAGCCGGAGCCGGCATCTTCACGTACCAGCTTGTTTATAAAGGCTCAATAAATAATCTGCTTTTGCTGCCGCCTTCTCCGTGGCCTCTGGCCAGGTGTGGAGCGGTGCTCGGTGCAGGCAGATGGCTGCACGGAGCAGCCCTGGGGCGAGGAGTGAACCTGGGCTTCGGTTCTTCTCGCTCCCCAGCCAGGGTCCCGCAGGGAGACCCCACTGGCGAGGCTCTTAAGGGGCCCTGGGCTGAGGGATTGTGCCACTCAACTGGCTGTTTGCTGCCCAAAAGCTCTCCCCAGGCATGAGCTCTGAAGGATACTCACTGCTTTGGGTTTTAAATTCCCAAATAAAGTTCCTGCCTCACCCTGGTGTAAGCTGGGGCTGAGACACTGGAGGAGACTGGGCACTGTCCCTCCACCCTTCATTTTGTCATTCCTGCTAGCAGCAGTGCTGATAGATATGACCAGAAATGCTGTCCCCACGCCCTAAAAACCACCCCGATAGAGCACATGTGAGTGTCTTTGATAAAAAATGAGCTCTGGCCTCAGCCAAGATCAGTTGCTGAAGCCTCAGGTCCTGCGAAGTGAATGGGGGTTCCATTTCCTCACACATCTCTAAGTCCAAAAAATGCATCACTCGTCAGGATTTTTTTATTGCAGACCTGTGAGCAGCGTGAATAAAAGATGATCTAAATGCATGTGTGCATATATATATTGTAAATATATATAGGTGAGAAGGGGAAAGCATGTTGAATCATACAGGCTTTGTCGTGACTTACACGTCATCTCTTACAGCTGTGGTAGGTGTTTTTTGGAAGGCATGTAACCACTGCTTTCCAGAAACAAAAATGTATTTGTTGGAAATGATGTAAAAATGTATTTTTGAGTGAAGCACGGAGAATTTATGAGATGGAGCTGAATTATTTTGGCTCCATTTAGTATTTCGATGTCTTAAAATCCACCTTGGACGAGAAGGTGCTGGAAGCCTCCCAGGGCAACTCTCGTCTCCATCCTTCAGCAACGCATCCCAGCCTCCACTGATTCCCCAAATGGAGGAGACCACACAACTCTCCAATTTCCACATAAATCATGAACTTGCCAATGACACCACCGCACACCAGCAGTCTGCTGTGATGCTGTGCTGGGCGAGGGTAGCCGGTCAGGACTTGAGAGCAATCTGAGTCATCGATTCCAGATGTTGCAGAAAGCTTCAGACCTCTGAGGTCCTGCTTAGCCCTCCTTCTGGCAAAGTTCAAGGGGGGTGGATGCATATATATCTTATTTTATTGCTCTGTTTTCTTTACAATGAAGGAAGGATTTGCTCTTAAAGCAAAGTACACATTGTTTACGTAGCATGAGCTTTCACTGGGCTGGAAGCATGGGATTTTAATTGCATTTCACAACATATTTTGCAGACCCGTTTGCAAGCTGGACAAGGGTATGGAAATACACTCAACTGTGTTCTCACCGTGTACAGAAATGAGTCTGTAAGTACTTTATCTTATTTAAAATGTGCTGGTAGAAAATGCAAATAGATCAATAGATAAATATATAAAGCAATTATACAAGATCACTGTTGACACTAGCAGTTATATGAAGACCAATAAAGTTTGTGTAATTGAGTCTGCAAATACCTACAGCTTTCTCTTGCTTAACTCTAAAGTAACTCTCGCAGTTACTCCAATAGGGAAAAGACAGATCCCTGGCATGGAATAATAAATGGCACTGCCCATGTCTCCACATGGATCAGGGTGTTACATCCACAGTGGCTCTTTTGCTGGCCAAGCTCTACCAGAAGTATTTTACTGGCTTTGGTGATGCCAGGACAGAAGCTGGCCATAAGAGGGACTTTTACGTGGGTTCCTGAGCTTTCAGCATATCCTGTATTCTGCACAATCTTTAAAAGTCTTCAGCAGTATGAACTAATTTTAATTTGCTCAGCACGTGCAAATGGTTGGGTCCAGGAGACATTTGGTAATTGAATCTGCACTTCTGGCCTGATAGACAAGTCGGGGTTTGCGCTGCTCAGCCCCGTTTGCTCTCTTAACTCCTGCTCCCTTTCCTGGGTAGGTGGCCGGCTTCTTCAAAGGCATGTCCTTCCCGCTGGCCAGCATCGCTGTCTACAGCTCCGTGGTGTTCGGCGTCTTCAGCAACACGCAGCGGCTCCTCAGCCAGCTCCGCCACGGCGACCCGGCCCACGCGCCGGCACTCACCGACGTGGCTTTGGCCAGCGTGGTGGCAGGGTTTGTCTCCGTGGGCATAGGCACTCCTGTGGACCTGGTAAAGATAAGGCTACAGATGCAAACACAGCCGTACACGGAAGGTAGGAAGCCAGAGATCCTTTTTCCTTTCCCTGCCAGTCCTCAGTGTTTACTGAGAGCTTTAGGACACCCACCCTCGCTTCAAGCCCTGGCTCTCTGCCGCCTTGTGCCACTGCAACTCCCCAGCATTGGACACTTTTAAGATTCAGCTGGACAGAGTGCTGGGCCATCTTGTCTAGACCGTGCATTTTGCCAAAAAAGGTTGGACCAAATGATCCCTGAGGTCCCTTCCAATCTGGTATTCTATGATTCTATGATACGAATTGCACTGAAGATGCTTCCTTCTGCCTCAGGACGGACCCCATCCTGCTCAGCTCACCGGGAGGGTTTCTATCAATGACATCGATCAGATCTCTGCTGGCATTTCCAGCTGACTGGGATCTCTAATGAACACAGGGGCAGGTCTGCTCAGGACCAGCAGCCGCAGGAGCTGCCAGACCCACATGGCTGTGGGGCAGGAACAGCGAGTCCCCAGGCTGTCCCCAGGGTCCCCTGGAGATCCTGCCAGCAGCACCACAGCTGCCAGCAGTAACACCAGCTCCCCAGCTCCTTCTGCTCAAGATGGTGGCTGAATTTTATCGCTGGCTGTCAGCATGGAGCAAACCCCACTGGAGAACGTGCACAGCCGCTGGAAGAGCCAGCGCAGCTTCAGAGATGAACAGCTTGGATGTCAGGAGCTGAAAACCTTTCTCATGATTACAGCTGTGGTGTTTATCTGTGAAATATTGACACTTTTATATTGCTTTGATAAAATAATATTATGTCCATTTCTAAAAGCCTCCATGCAGCTTAGCAACCTAATGCCCCTTCCAAAAGCAACTTGGTCTACATGGGAAGGGCCAGACTCTGAAGATATCAAGGCTCTCAGAGATGCAGCTTGGCACCAGATGTGGTTGAAATCCATGAAAACTGGGCACATAGCCTTAAATTCATTTGAAAATCTCACTGGGCACATACCTATTGGGAGGCATGCAATGCATCTAAGAAAAATCTGTCCTGAAGTGTCTAAATGTCTTTTAGAAATGGTCCTAAATCCTCTTTCTTAAAACTTTCTTTTTCCCATGCTATGTATTGATCCCAAAGCAAAAGAAAATGGATGGCAGTGATTGCTGTTCAATGGTGGTGGGCTTTTGAGAGGGGTTCTGTAGCAGTATATCTATTGTAATGTTTGTATCTTTTTTTTTTTTTTTTTCAGAAAACATTAAACTAAAGCCCACGGTTCCTGGATTTCCTGTGTACAGAGGCCCAATTCACTGCTTTAGGACAGTTCTACAGAAAGAGGGTATAGCAGGAATATACAGAGGTGCGGGAGCAATGCTTCTGAGGGATGTTCCTGGGTACTGCCTCTATTTCATCCCTTACACATTTTTCTGTGGCTGGATTACCCCTGATGGATGCATCTCCCCTAATCCCTCCTCCATCTGGCTGGCAGGGGGTGTAGCAGGTAAGCACCTTTTTTTCCCCACAACACTGGCAAAACAAGGACAGGAAGGTTCCCCAGGGCAGATTACGGGGGTGGCTCAGGGGCCCCCACATCCTCCTGGTCACAGGAGAGGACATGGGGCTGAATGACCTTCCACTCCCAGGGCCACATCCCCTGCTGACACCACGGCTGCGCTTTATGACTTGACAAACTTAATGGAAGTCGTATTATCAGACCTTCATCAGGCTCAATGTCACTCAGAAGGAAAACAGCCAGCACCTCCAACTCCCTGTATGCCTCATGGCAGTCTGCGTATCACATTGCGAGTAATACACGGCAGCCAAGATGCCTCCAGAAGAGGACTTCAACCCGTTGGCTGCCCACCAGGAGGGTGTGCACCCTACCCGCACGCAGCAGAAGCAGAGTTGACTGTTAATGATCTTTTTTTCCCGTGTACACCTGCCAGTAAGACCGGCGTGTGCATCTCCCACCGTGCCTACATGTGTGAGGTCACCCCTACACCCACTCCCCATTTCTTGGCCATTTCTAAATTGCAGACTCCTAAATGCAGATCAATCCTTAGCTCAGGTAATGATTACAAAACACTCTCTCCTTTTCTTCTGCAAATAGAACCCTGGCCCACCTGGACAGCTTCTCTAGTATGCCCCAATGCTCACATAGGTCCAAACAAACCCTCATCTGTCCAACTGGGCCATGTATTGCAGTCATATGCTGACCTTTTCAGAGAGGTAAAACATCCCACTCAGCTGCAGGCCAATCAATGTAAATAGATGGTTTCGTTATAGGAATGTTGCATTCAGCTGTGTGGAGCCTAATCCTGGTTGCATGAGATGAACCTGCCTCTTATTTGCATTCTCAGCTCAAACTTTGCTTTTCAACAGAATTATCTGAGGACTCCAGTTTTTCTGAAATCGCCTGAAGCGGCAGCTCCCTGCAGCTCAGGCTCTTCCCACGGCATGTCCAGGCTCCACCAGAAGCACGGCAGAAGATGTATTTGCACTTGGGGGAGCACCTCCTGGGCTGCCTGCATTTGACTACCAGCATAACCCCCAAAATCTCAATGCTTCTTCCAGAAACGGGGAACTTTGCTCCCAGAAATACTGTTCCTGTGCCTGAGCAGGGTGAACGCCCTGAAACGATAATCCCATGAATATGATGTGGTAGATGAGAGGTGAATTTCTGAGTTCACTGACCTGCGGCCAAGGAAACATAGAGAAGAAATTGTTCAAATACTTCTACGTTTTTCTAGGAGCCATTTCCTGGGGGACTGCTACTCCAATGGATGTTGTGAAAAGTCGACTTCAGGCAGATGGAGTTTATTTAAACAAGTACAAAGGGACCCTTGACTGTATCTTGCAGAGCTACCAGAACGAGGGCTTAAAAGTAAGTGTTTGAAGTAAAATCTGGGTATTAGGCATTTAATTTTCAGTTAGGAAATACAATGGCTGTTCCAAACCTATTTGCAGGGTTGAGAGACAGTTACTGCTAAATTATAATAATGACAGTAGGTAATTATAGTGCAGATTCTTTCTAAATGATAGTAGTGAGAGTAGTAACGTGCCATACAGCAATGAAAAAATGAATGACTGAGGGTCACAGTCTGCTGGTGTAATTAACTTAAAATAACACTTCATGTCAGTGCATTTATTTGTTAATGTGATTTGACTTATCATAAAGCAGAGGTAGAAAATTTTGCTTCTGTGATTGCTTCTACAAAATGCAGAGGCCAAATGTTTCCTACTGACACCAAAGTTAGTGGGAACTGATTCCACTGGGACTGTGCTGGCACTTCAGGCGTGTTTGGTTGTCTTGAGCAATGCTTTGGTGGACCTGATACTGCATTTTGCACTGCCCACCCTCATTCTGCACCAAGATAGAGCTGATTGAAAATGTTCTTAAATCAGAACTGCATTGGTATCAAACGTGAAGAGGGGCTGCATGCCAAAAAAACCTTATCTCTTTTTTCTGACTTTGTCTATTAGTGTAATAAAAAATGTTTGTTCTACCTGCAAACTTTGCCTCAGTTAGATGTGAATGGCAGAGAACCAGGGTTTGCAGCTTTATTGCATTGCCAATGTGTGATTACGAGAAGCAACATCTTCTGATATCGTAATAAATCTGTATTTAAGTTGTCATCAAAACATCATGTGGGCTCTTAGCTCCAAAGTGTTATTTTTCACATCCTGAGGGAAAAGTAACAACTTACAAAAAGAAAACTGCAAAATCACAAGTTGGTGTGATTTAAATATTTGCCAACATACCACTATGTTATGCCAGCCACTGCAGGAGTCTTTAGTCTCATTTGGTTTTTGCTGTTGAGTGATGGAAGTCACACTCCGAGGAAGTGCAGGCATCTGGAGATGCTAAAGACTGTGCTCGGATGGTCAGAGGAGGGTGAGGGTGCCCCAGGCTCTATGTGGGGTACCTGCCCTGTACATCTGGCATGCAGTTTCACAGTAAAACATAGGGTGGCTGAAAAGGGAATTTCCGTGTGTTTTCCCTTCTCTTCCCATGCTCATCCTCACCCCTTACCCTCCTTGCCCTGCCTGAAAATTAACAGCTCATTCAGGCACTTAGGTTTTTTTCTTTGAGGTCCAAGCTGCTTGCAGTTTTTCTGTTGTCATGCCTGGTTTCCGGACCGAAGCCAGCGATAGGATTGTGTAATAGCTGATGATAAGACTCGAGCCTTCTCTTGTAATGAAAATCTTTTTTTATTTTGGGAGACATACATCTGATCAATGGCAAACCAAGGTCTGGATATTTGCATTCTGGGACAGAGGAGCAGAAGTCATAGTGCTGAAAGTAATTGCCTGATGTACGCAAAAAAGTGTAAATACAGTCCTCTTCTTTCTGCATAGTCAAGTGTGTTCATTCTGATGATAAAAATCTACGCCTCTGGGATTTTCTTCATAAATCTTCATTATTATTTAACTTGGCTCTCTCATATTACTTCATGGCTACTGCAAAAATTTGAATTTCCTCCCAGAAAATTCTATCTTTTCTAACAAAACAAACACCCCAGTAAATCAAGTAATATCCTAAATATCCCAGTATTGCAATTGCACGTTGCAAACCCCATCCTAAACTATGTGAACATATTTTGATTCTGTCTCGTACAAGACAGCACTATGCACTGGATTTATTGGATACAGGATACAGTGGTGTTTAGCATTGCTCAGTATATCAGGGGAAATACTGGTTAGATTCTTAAATCTACGGGCTTCTGGTCTTGGAGCCGAGATCTTCCATGCTTCCTCACAGTAGCCATGAGAGCTTTGCTTTCGTAAAGCCTGGAAGGGGGCTTGCTTTGCTGATGTTACTTGTCATGTCTATTCTGAACTTCTGGTGTTTAGATTAGTGACCACAGTGATTAGCCTGTGTGGTTAGCGGAGTGATTTTGTGAGAAACAGGCCAGCAGAGATACTCCCTCCAACCACCGTTTTGTAAATAGGCTCATCCCAGAGCGAGTGGTTTGTGCACACCCTTGCACAGACCAGGCAACAGTGTTTGTAGCGAGGGGGGGTGTTTCAAAGGGAGACAGGCCAACGCCAGGAGCGAGAAGAGCCCCTCTCCACTTTCCAGAAAGCATTTTACTCTTCAAGCACTTAAAAGACACTGAGTCTTTCACTCTTCTAAGTGCCAGCATCTTTTCAAAAAATATATATTGGGCATAATGAGGAAGGCTGTCTGTGGATATTTATTATCTTAATGAAAGGAAATGCTGGAATACATACAGGCACCAAAGCTTGACCTTAGGAACCCACATGTGAAAATATTCTATCAAATATTTTTTCCCGAAGCTGGTGGTGAAAGCTAGTTCTCAGCAAGGTACAGAGTAACTCCAGTTTTCTGTTGATTGAGAAATTCTTTCTATGCTCAAAGGTGAAACCTGCAAAATAGTCCGCGTGGCACAGTGCCCGCATTGGCTGGGCTGGCTCACAGCCATGCTGCTCCCTCTCTGCTTCCCAAATGTCTTCTGCACCCACAGACCCAGCCCCGGGAGTCAGAGCATTTCCTGCATGAAAGCAACAACCTCCCTGTCGTACCCTGGGGTTTGCACGATCCCCGTGTGCCTGTCTGCAAAGGAAGGAGGGGCTGTAGCTAGGCAGGACAACACTGGAAGATATTTCAGGTTTCTTGCTTTCTGCTCTATACCAGTGGCATGAGGCCATTATTTTACTCTTTACCTCTTGTAGCTCTTGCTGGAAGATACAGATGGGGGACCATAGGGAGCATGGAGCACAACAATAGCAAACCAGTGACTTCTGCCATTGCGTTTCTGTTCTCCAGCGCAGCCTTCAGCAAAGACCGGCAGCGAGAGTGTATCTTCTGAGAAAACCAAGATTTGGTTCTTCAGAATCCCACCATGACTTCATTCAGTGTTTTCTTCTTCTTCTTAAAATAGCCAGTATAATCCTATGCTCTAACCTTTCTCCATCCTCAACAGGTCTTTTTTAGGGGCATCACGGTCAATGCAGTGCGAGGATTCCCAATGAGTTCAGCCATGTTTCTTGGCTATGAACTTTCCCTCAAAGCAATGAAAAGAGACCAAACTGAGACCAATCCTTAACTTCCAGGTCAGCGCATAAAGACCCTCTAGCTTTCTTAAAATTACAGAATTAATCTTTGAATAAAATGGAGTTGCAATTGTATACATCCTCTGAAAGTCAGGTAACTTACATGGGTACCTACAGCTAAATAGTCAAACACTTTTCAAATCTGGGTCTGTGGGATTTGGAGCAGTTAATAGATGTGCCGATGGATTTGGGTTTCATTCCAGATCTCCTGGAATTTCACTGCAATCTGTTCTGATTGCTGTGATTGTTCTGATTAGTATGAATCAGAAAAGAAAATTCAAAAGGAGAATATCCTCTAACATTTTATAAGTTTTGAAATATCATCCTCACTAAAGTTCCTGCACAGTATCCTCTCTTCCTTTGATCCATCCACAAAGACCTGTAATTAAGCCCTTTCAAAGTGTCTTGACTATCAACTCACAGTTTTACTCTTTCACTCATAAACCTAGGGTTGCATAAAGGAGCAGCATTAAAAATACTTGATTAAAGAAACTTTTTTAGCAGTTAAATACTCAAGATTATTCTTGGCAGTCTTTACTGTTTTCTGCGGTACTTCATAAACTTCCTTCTTTCTTATTTCAAAAGTGTTACGAAGAAGACCTGAAAGTCTCCTACTTCCCTGAGCCAAATCAGCAGTGTGGTGTTGGTGAGGGCTCAGCTGCTCTGACCGAAGACTCCCGTCCTGCACCCACAGCATCTGCTTTCTCTCCTGCCGTGGACTCAGTCCCTGGAGGACTCTGAAAACTGCACCAGCTCAATCAAATCTAAAGACCATTTTCTTATTAAATCTTTCACTCTGCTGTCTAAGAGCACCTTAATAATTCCCATGGAGGTGTTGGGCTTTTTCACCGATGACATTTTTCCCATTGAGCCAAGAGAACAACTTACTTTCCTTACCCACACGAGTGAGATATACCCAAACCCAGCCCACCTGGCATCAGCCAAGGGAGCATCTTTTGTATAACACTGCGTTTAATGCTCATCTTTTTTGTGAACAAGGGAAGGAAGAGGTGTGGTGGGTGTGCAGGTGCTTTTTGTGTAGAAAAGTCTGGATTCCCACTAAAACCTACCTTGCTTTCAGGATCACAGAAATGACTCCACCGTACGAACGGATACTCATGTTTTACATCACAGAACTCTCCAGTTTGCCACAATTTAACACATTATCATGAAACAATGAGAAGGGCTTCAACAGTTTGTTATCCAAGGTATAAATTAAATCAGGAAACAGAAAGATGTTAAATTCAGAGACTAAGTTGCTCTTTTTCTTCAGAAAACAATAAAATAAGTCCACACTGCATATAGATGATTGCCCATTAATTTACCTAATTTGTGTAGCCCTCCAGGGACCTGTTACAGGTATCTTGTTAGAACTTCTGATGTCCCTGATGTGACAGTCCAGCTTGTCAACTGCCAAATCCTGCAGACATCACTTTGCAGCCTTGAGAGACCATCACCTTTAAGGGATGCAGAGTTTATCCCAAACCATTCTCTAAAATACATGGGCCAGCTTCAGACCCCCAGCTCTTCGCTGCAATCCCACTGAGACAAGTGGGGCAGACCCAGGTCTCTCTTTTGTCTACCTTAGCCTTGCAATTATTCTAAGATGTTATAAATCATGATTATTTCTGTTTATGCCGTTAAATATCTCCATGATTTATTTTCTAAGCATGGGGCTTCTGATGCCAAAAATGAAGAAGAATCAGCTCTGCTGGGACAAGAGGACTCTGGTGGCACTGCCAGGAGAGGCTGAGGGATAACCACCTCATATGCAGAGGGACGTGCAGCATGAGAGGACAATCTGGGACAACACTATCCTCTGGGAAATGTATAGTTTCCGCCTCTCTCTTCCTCTGGAGAAGAGCTCTGGGGAAAAAGCTCAGCGATGGCAGTTTTAGCAGATGCCCTCAATAAAGGTTTCTGAGGACAACCTGGAGCAGCCGTCCAGTTTTCCTCCATAAAAGGAGGAGAAGGAAAGAGAAATTCCTGCATCCTCTTCCCTGGATGAATGGAGGAATTGGCTACAAGACTTGAAGACCTCAGCAGAAAGTGCCTAAAAACTCAGGTCTGGAGAAGTACTCAGAAATGGGGCCCCCAACCTTGGGCTACTCTTCACTGGGACCCAAATTAAAAACAGAAGTGTCGCTTCCCCCAAAACTGGCCTTAAAAAGTGGGAGAAACAGCTGGTGTTACCTCATCTAAGGACTTGCAGGTGAGGAGGCTCACAGTGCCTTTGAGCTTGGCAAGAACACAGCGAACCATTTTTGATAAACAGTATGGATAAAATTAATGAGCTTTCACACAAGTATTTGTTGTTGGCCGCATTTAAAGATTCATCCTTTCCATGTTACCTATTTTAATGCACATACATCAAACGTTCTTTAGATGCATAATATCATATGTCTCCAGGGATAATAACTGGGGAGACTGTTTTTTCAATGCAAGTAAATGGTGTTGCTTATCTGCCTGCATTATGTCAAATGGACCATAAATTAATTAAACTGATGAGGTTTGCAACAAGCTGTTTATCTGTATGAACCTGCCTTCACAGTGACCAGGTTTGGTCTGTTAAAGCCCTGAGACGCATGTTGGAGTTGCATGGTGATTTTTCCTGATATTCTTCATCCAATTAAACCAGTTTTGAGATGGAAACCCAGGATTGATTTGGACAAAATTCTCAGGTAACACACACCTGCCAGAAGGAGCTGTTGGGGAGAGCTGTAGACTACCTGGTGTAGAAAGGGAGCAGAGGGCAGAAAGTTTTTAATATAAAAAAACATGAAAAGCAAATGGGAAGCGAATAAAAAGCTTTGGCCACATGATGGCATCCTCGTCCGTGGCAGGGCACGGCCGTGTGCCGCTCACTGAGGCTGCCAGGCAATCTCTTTGCGTCTTGTTTCATTCAACTCTGAGTCCAGGTTTGCTGCCAGACCAGCACACACTCCCTTCCCAACAGCAGCCCCACACTGGGCAGCGTGCAGGTGATTTTGGGGTGACCCTGCCCGGCAGCGTGGGAGGCAAGCCATGGATGCACTTGTTAATCAGTGTATCACTCCGTTAGCATTCCTAGACAAACCACGAGTGAGGCAAAGCAACGCCAGGCTGGAGCACGAGGGTTTTGAGGGTGACAAGGAGGGACAGAGCAGCAGGGTTGGGATATGCAGCTTTTGGGGCACAGGACTTTGTGGTACGGTTGTACCCATTGCTGTGATTGATCACAGCAGATCCCTGCACACAGAGCCTGATAAATAATTTAGTCTTTCTTTTGAAGTAGTGAGTGGTTGTGTCACCAAGGAAAGAGGTCCAGTGGTGGGGTTGGGTGACACTGCGGGGGGTCAGCCCCATGTCTCGAAGATGAGGAATGGTGATTACAATTTATGCACACAGAGACTTGACAGGTCTGTGTCTTGTGAACGACCTTCTTCATGATATATTAAATGCATTAATTTTTAGAGATGACATCAGTATCATTATCCACTGACAGAAATTAGGATTTCTAAGGAATCCTCTTTGGGGACCCGGTGATGGGAGTTTAGAACAGTGCCTTGCCTGGCAGGCAAACAGCCATACATACAGCTGATTCAAATCCCTTGTATGGGGCATTGTTTGCCTGCATTGGTGATTTTGTCCTTGAATTACACAAAAGAAAAATCCCTCATGTCAACAGAGTTCAGGATACGGACCTGCTCCTCTGTCAGTGCTGTGGCCGTAGTGGGAGAAGCTATCTGCTTAACAGCTTGTTCACAGATGCTCACAGAGGCCCACATTTCTAAGATAAATGCAGTAAATCCTAAAACTGGTAAAAAATTAGAAGGGAGACCAGAAGGACCAGGGTTATCTATTTCTATGCTTTTCTTGCCTGGAATATGAAAGCATAATCAGACCTGTCATGCTTCAAGTAAGTCTGTAACTGCTTGACTTTCATGTCACTGGTGGTGTTCCAGCTTTTACAACACCCTGTATTACTTAACGAGATGCTGGCTGTGTAGCCGTTTTTACCGGTTTATACATAATGTAATGCTATGGAAGGAAAAAAAGGTAACAGCAGCTTATTTCCCCATTAAAAAAAAAAAAAAAAAAAAAAAAAAGACAAACAGGAACCAATTTCCCAGTCAAAAGCTATTTTTCTGCCCTGACCTGGAGGAAAGTCTTTGGTGCTGGGAGAAGCTTCATGATGCCCACAGGGCCTGAGGTGGGAGCAGGCTGGGGCTGCCCTTTGGCCAGGGGGCAAGGAGGGGGGCCACCTCCCCTCCCTGTTTCTGCATCCCCGATTCAGAAATGTCCTTGACATTAATAATGTCCTCGAATTCTTCTCCCAGGCAGGGTGCATCTGGCACCCCGAGCAGGAGCTCACCCCCAGCGGTTTCAGCCCCTGCTGAAGCCCTGTCTGTGATGGCTCCCGGCCAAGCCCAGATTTTTTCACACCTCAGGAATCCCTGCCTGCCATGTCCACACCTTGGGGGACGGCAAGATCACAGTTCCCATATTGGTTTCTTTTTTTCTGGTGTACTCAGACAGAGGAGTAGGTGACGTCTTTTCAGGCATTAAGATATGTATCTCCTCAGTTCATCTGAGGTTCTTTGTTCTGTTACAATAGGGATTTCTGTCCTAGATATTGCATTTGTGTAAGCCAAGACTAATGCCTCTCTTGTACTGGTGAAGAAAAAGGTAAAGTGTAGAGTCAGAAGAAATAGTGAGATCAAAGGATACAAGTGTGAAGAAGTTCAAGTTGCTAAACTGAACATAAACTGCACAAGAACAATTTCCCTTCTCTAAAGCCATTTTCTTCCTATATGTGCTTCTCTAGTGATGCATAGACTGATCATTGCCAACTTAACTAAATAGTACCTAAAGTATCCTTCCAGAGATAGGCTCCAAAAGGAATTAAGCCATGCAGTGAGGGGAAATTTAAGTAGTTACACTGATTTTCAAAGCAGTTTTCCTAAACTAGAATCCGCGACAGCTCCAGTATCAGACACTGGGGGAACAACCAACCTATTAAGAGCCATACATGTAGCAGAAGGAAAGTAGCTTTTTAAGGGGGTCTCAGAGGTCCCATATGAGGTTTCACTGTAAGATACAAAATGCTGGATACAACAAGAAACCCTTTCTTAGTATAAGTGAAATACTAAGGCTATTGGACTGTAGAACACCAAATTTCTGAAAAGAATATGTAGGTCCTCTTGAGTAATGGATAAAGCAATGTATTTGGGAAAAAAAAAAGCAACTTCGAAAGAAAAAAAGCAATTTGGAGAAACAAGAACCTTGCAGCTGGGGAAGCACAGGCTGAGACTGCCCTGCTGCCAACACCCGGTGCTTCAAGACTGGCACCCACATGGCCTCTCTGGCTGTAAGAGCACCAGGACTTACATAGCTCATCTTCATGGATTGGACCGGCTCATGATCTATTCCCCCATGTTTCAAAACATTCTAGCACTAATGTAGCCTACTTTACACATAGTATAGAAAATCCTGCCAACTCTTATGGAAGAGGGCCAGCCTGTTCTTACTCATGCAACTAGGTGTGAACCAGTATCTGTGCTTATCTCGTTATTAAACTGTCATTACCATGTTTCAATCAAGCAGTCTGCAGGTGGTTTTTCGATGCTTTCAACATGAAAAACAAGTCGCAATGCAGGTTTGGCTGGTGGAGGGCTCTAACGCAGCCATGGAGCGAATGCCTTGTGCTGTCTGTCTGTCCTGCATGTTCAGCCTTCCTCTGCATGCTGTGCTGAGAGGGAAATCCAGCACCTAGGGTCATCTCACAGTGGGACAAGCAAGGAAGGGTGAGTGGACTTATGATCTGAGAGCTCTGCAATGTGTCTTTCCCGGTGTGAAAGCAGTCAGGCCCACAAAAGAGGATGCGAAAATGAGAGCAATGACATCAGGAAAACCTTAAAATACAAGAAAACTGGTGATCTTTGTGGACGGTTCCCACTTTCTTCTGCTTAGTTCTGGAGACTGTTGGTTGTGAGATGCATTTGCAATATGTGCAACACCCAGCATGGTTGCATGTTGCTGTCAGGGCCTTTTGCTTTTAGATGCCTCAGCTCTTGCTAAATATCACTGCAACGTGGAAAGCTTGGCTCCCCTGCTAGAAAACCCAGGAAAGCTTTGGTGACTGTGTCATTGCATGAAACAAAGATGACTTGCAGCTCTGAAGGTCCCTCTCAAGTGGGCTTCCCCATCTCACAGCTCCTGAGCACCACTAGTTTTGGTTAGTTAGTTTAAATTGTTTCAAATTAATTAAAACTCTTCTGAAAGTAATGGGAGCTCCATTACCTACAGAAGCTAACAGGAGTCCTGAGGACATCCTGTGATCCATCTGCTAGGACAGAGCAGAGCATGGGGCTATTGTGAGGTGCCACTGCTGTCTTCAAGCTGGCACATGGAAAGTTTCCTATGTTCATCTGGATTTTACACCTTTCTGTCATAAGCAATCTTGCTATTACTATGCTATGGTTTACCCTTTTGTGGAGGAATTAGAATGAATCTATTTTCCTTTATTTTTACACTAGCATATGTCATCTTTATCTAAAAGAAAGGAAAAAAAATACTCCATGCTACCTTATCTCTGGAAAATGAAACTATCAATAGCATCTCTTCATTTGTGGTTTTGCAAGCCCTTACATACTGATCAGTGTATACAGCAAATGTAAAACAAACTAATACATTATCTTGGTGGTCTTCTTCTACAGGGAATCCTTTTTCCTATGTTAAAACATAACCCAAACTGTACAAAGTTTCTTGGAAACACTAAGGTGGGATGCAAATTCTTTCACGACAACTCAGAAGATCTGGAGTTTTATGCTAATCAGGTTAAAATACTGATCTGGAAGTTGGATGTTTGTGCAGCATTTTTGGTTAATCAACCTATCATAAGAATAGATGCATTAAAAGGGAATATATCTCAAACATTTACATGTAAACCAAAAAGGTACAGGATATTAGGTGAGGATTTCCAAAGGAACCAGAGGAAACTGCCTGTAAGAGACAACAGAAATATGAGAGGGGTTTTTTGTTCATCTTTTCCAAATACCCATTCTGGGCTGGAATCTTGCAATCCCTCGAAAGTTATGATTTTGAACCAGGCACACTCAGCTGATGTGCTGCCCTGGTGTTGGCAGTACCCCTGGCTGATGGAGCTCTCTGTCCCCTTCCTCACTCTGCTGGGCCACCCCATCCTTTAGTGTGTAGGAAGTGATAGAAGTATGGGGATATACGATCTGCTAATGTATGGTCCTGCTCAGGTTTCCCAAAGGCAATGCAGAGGATGTTTCTATGGGCTAATGCAGCCACTGCCTTTAAGCTTGGTGTTCTTCATTAAAAATCCCGGCTTTCAGTTCTTCATCTTCTTTCTAATTTTTCCAGCCAGAAATCTTAAAAGGGAACAAAAAGGGTCAGGATGACCAGACTTAGCATTGGTAGCTCCCTACTTTGACAGACAGCCTTTGGAGGCCTAGGGCTTTGTGACCTCAGAGGGAAGTAGACTCACAGAGTCGCCTTCCTACCTACTGCAATTTGGCTATTGAATTTATTATGAATTTGTTTCCATTTTCTTGAGTGGTGGTTGAAAAGCCTCTATTTCCTCTCTACATTTTGGCCTGTGTTGCTGAAAGAGGCATTAAGGGAGAGGAACAGAGGGAGAGCAGATACCTAGACATGAGGATAAAAAAGAAACTGCTGATCGTATTTAACACACGACAACATATCTGTGAAAACACGTTGCAGCAGCTGGTCATCAAAATGAAGACTTTTAAAATATCGAAACTAAATATTTAAAGATTATATTAAAAAGCTGGTCCTTTTGCTGGGACGGCAGCAAATATTAATTTCCATGGTCTGTGAATCAGCCTCTAAATGCTGGAATAGAGCCCAAACTCTCCAAAGAGAAGCCGTAACTGGTCCCACTCGCCTCTGTGCCTGATTTACTGCTGCTCTAACCAATATATGGAAAGTTCTTTCTCTGCCAGTTTGACTTCTGGTGATTTCTGATTCACTCTGAATTGAATACAGCTTCTCTGGTGACCTATTTGCCCTGGAGCAACAACAGCATGAGAGAGATCTCACTAAGCAATCTAATAGAAATGAAAAGACGTAGAGATAGTGCTGGCACCCCCGGCAAATAGAGACTGCGAGGAGGAACCGCAGGCTCAGGGAGCAACTCTGGAAACTCTGCCATTCTGATTTTCAACTTGCAACAAAAATACAGATCTTGTCCTTTAGGTCTATAGGCTTGGGAAGAAGTTATCTCACTGTCCAGTGAACATAATTACATCTCATGTATGGAAAGGTCGTAATTATGTATCCTGCACATATTTCATGCCACCCATCACTTTTGCTGACAGAGCATGGCAGCTGCATGGAGACGGCATTTCTTAGGTAAAGAGGCCCTAGAGACCCTGCTAAGTATATCAAATTTTGTAAAAACCTTGAAAAGACGGTGTAGAAGCTACTGGGCAAAATAGGATTTCTAATGAACACATTTTCCTTATAAACAACAAGCATCAGAAACCCTGGCTGTCACGAAGAGCCCCTTGTCCCTCTCTCCCCATGGCATGTATTCCCTGCAGAACCTTGGCTAAATCAAAGACTCCTGTGAATTCTTTCCTTTAAAACCATGTAAAATTGTTTTTTTTCAGCCTTCTGAGAAACCAGATGTCCCACAAACATTATGCATAATTTGTTTCCTTCAGGAATTTATGCTTCGAACTAATTGTTCTAGCTCTTGCCGTGGGGCTTTACTGGCTGAAGAAACAGAGAGCAGCACGCCTGTTTCTTTGCTTGAGCAAAAAACTGTTTCCTCAAGGGAGACCTGCCCATCAGGGAAGTCTCTTTACTGCTTTTCAGGGAATCACAGGCTCTCGATCACCAATCAATGATTTTAGCCCTTCTCTAACCACCCAGTGCCTTGAAAGATGCCACTGCCTGGCCCACGAATGCCATCCCTCCCCTCAACACACTTTTATGCATCTGTTGATCATAACGTAGCCTGCTGCCACTTGCCAAGGGAGCGTCTCTGGCTTTTTCTAGGTATTCCCTGGGGCCTGTGTGAAAGCTGTAGCTGCCTAATGGGATGTACACTTCCAACACTAAAGCAACTAAGGATTAAACTCAAAGAAAAAGGAGTGAGCATCCGCCCCAGCCTGGAGCTGGTGCTCGGTGTGCAGGCAGCGAGTCAGGGGCAGGAGCAGCAGGCAGGTTCTCCTCTGCTCCCCGTGGCGTGCGGGCAGGCAGCGGAGCCGCGCTCGGCCAGATCAATCCCTTGGTTGTAGGCAAGTGCCAGAGAAAAACCAGCAAATTGCAACCCTATGTTTTCTCTTTTCAGGACAGTTTCCAGAGGGACTGTGTTCATCCTTCAGCCAGACCGACCAGAAGGCTCAAGCTTTTGGAGAAGATCTTCGAGGCATACCAGGATTTAAGGCATAACAGGAGGGAAGTTTAAAGTCAACACTGGGGATCTAAAAGAAATCTGAAGGGCTGCCACTTGCTCTGCCAAGGTGTGCAACTTGGGAAAAAAGGAAACCTCTGTGACCAGAGAAAGCTCTAACAGACATTCAACCTGATTTGCAGACTCCATCTGAGAGAATTTCCAAGTTAATACCATTTTGGTCACCTAGGGCTATTTTTGCGGCCACTCCTTTCTGCTTAAAAGGGAACGGGTGGGATGCAATGTCGAAGTCAGTGTTTTCACTTTGAGGGGCCCGATCCTTATCTGCACACTGGTGCACTTGCCCTCGGCAGAGGTGGGATCACAGTCACGGACTATGGGATCGCTCTCCGGATGCAGCAGCTGTAATTCGGCATGACTTCTCCAGGCACCATTCTACAACTTCGTCCGTTTGTCTGTCTGCTCACCAGACCCCTGCAGCGATACCAACTTTCCTTGAGAAAGGTCCTGCTTTGAATCCAGGGGGAAGCCAGCTTCCAACCTATCAGTTTGTTTTCTCGGGAACTTTGGCAATGCTGAACACTATTGTCTCTTTGCTTTCATGGAACCATAATTTACATAAGCACAGGAGACAAAGCCCACATCTGGAAAAAAAATGCTTTCGTAGATTTTTAACCATTGTTTCCTGTTGGGGTGTGATATCATAATGTTCAAATTAATCATTTCTGAGGAGCATTTGTGAATTTCCGCAGTACTAAAGAAAAGTCACTGCAGTAGGTGACTCAATTCCACATTTGATTTCTCTAAAATGCTGTCCAAGCTAGTGGGAAAAAATAGTGGGCACCTGGTATCAGTTTTATAATTGGGTTTTTCCAAATTAGAATGGGAATTTTGTGAAGACTCAATTAAAAGGAGTGTCCTCCTATTCTTCTGTCACCCATCAGACTGAGTTGCACATGAATGCCAGCATGCTGTCATACATACTCTTCTCTTGTTTGCTGCTCTCTGTGCAAGCACAGAATTGCAGTGTCCGTGAAATTATCCGGTATACAGAACGTCTGCTTGTAAGTGGCTGTTTAGCACCTTAATTCTGTAAAAATGCATGCTTGTAAAGTAGCTGATAATAAATACTGATTTCTCACTTGTTATTCTTTCAGAAGGAAAATTCTGTAAATTGCCCATGTAGGGAGACAGCTGTCAGTGTGAGTACATCGCTTTTGAGAATATCATGAAACTAAACAAAAACGTACTTGTGTGTTGAATGCTAGCAATGCTGGATTTTAACGCTCACTCTTTTCATTTTCAGTCATGTTCATGTCTTCCCATTGCTGAGGTAAATCTATCTTTTTTTTTTTTTAAGCTATTGTAGGTGTTAAAGAAGTTCAGTATTAACTGAGTTTGTTAAGTTTGTTCACTTTGCTCTTTATCTAACTTTTGCTTTCGGTTATGAGGAAGATTTTAATACACTAGTAGCAGCAAAACTGACTTGATGAATACCAATGGGGAGGGAAGCTGAAGTCCTCCCATTATCACTGCAGTCAGAACCAAGCCCAGAGTCAGGCAAAAGTCCTCTGTGGGCTTGACTTAAAAATCAAAAGATACAGGCTCTTCCTTTGCAAATCTCTGCAAGACCTTGTTTTATGGCTAGGTGCCTAAATACTGAGTGAACCTGGGCCAGAGATGTCAGGCCTCATGCTTAGCTCTAGGTGTATCCAACACTATTTAATTTTTTGTAAGCCTCCTCAGATATGGTGAAACCCAGCATTAGCTGAAACTATACTTCAAATAGGTTACTTTTATAGTTTGGGATTCTCTGAGAGATGTGACAGGTGTTTCTTATGGCATACATGATGATTCGGTGTTTTACAACTCCCCCCAAATTCTTGCACCAGTGTTCAACAGAATGCAAAATATGTTGCATTTAATTGTGACATGCTGCCACATTTAGGAATACCTATTTTTACTTTCTGTACATAAACACAAAATGCATTCTAGCTTTTTCTAATGCCTTCTTCATTTAACAGCCTGGCCATGAATTGGCATGCTTTGTGGAAGGAACCGAACACATGCTGAAAAACAACGTATCTTCAAACGCAGTAATTGCAAGGCTTAATCTAACCTTTCAGACTCAACTGGATAGAAACCTCTGTGAAGTAAGACTTTTCTTACTTTTCTCTAGCTTTTTGTATATCTTTTACAAAAGAAATGATTTTTAATAATTTAAACACTTGTAGTTGTTTGATTAATTTCAAATGTGTTTTAAATACTCGTTTTATGCAGGAGCCAGTTATGATGGCTGCAACATGCCCAAGGCAATGGAAAAACATTGAAATTGGCAGAGGGAGCGAAGAGATGGGTTCTGCTCCACTGTGCCCCTTCCCTTCCCCAAACCCCTATAGCATGAGGAACCTTTAAACATAGATCTCTAGGAGGGGGAGCTTTATTTAAATTGCTTTTCTATTCTCCTTTCTCAAGATGTGTTTCGACACTAAATAGTAATGATATAAATCCAGAGAGTAGATATGCAGAAGCTGCATGGCTGGGGACTGGCAGGCAGAGGCATCCTTCTCTTCTGGAGCATTAATGCTGCCTAAGCTGCAGTTTCTTCAAGGATGCTTGGGCATGAAATACTGCTGTGACCTGCAGTGTCTTCAGACTTGTGATGACACTCAGGAAGACTCCTGGATCCCCATATGCCTTTTCTGAGGCAGTAAAACACCCTTCATTTACATACTGAGCAAAACTGTTGTGTAATTCAGCGAGACACGGAAGATGCTGATGCTGCAGTGTCTCAAGCTCCTTTACATCGGCTTCAAACTTGCAAGGGGGAATATTGTTAGAATGGCACCGCGGCACCAAGCAGACCCATTGCCCTAGTCTTACTCAGCTTCTCATACTGCTCTATCTGCTCTGTTTTCCATGTTGAAGGAGCCCAGTTTAAATTACTTCAGCTATAGCTATATAGACAGTCCAGCTGTCACCTTCTAAGTCACCATGAAAATCCACTTTTACACTTACTGCTCAAGGAACGGTTCTATAGGAATTGTTTCTGAAATCTCTGCTTAGCTCCAAAGAATTTATATTTTAACTGTTTTATCTAAATGTTTTATTTTTTATAAAATCTTTGGTAACCCAATCTTTGTTCTTTCTTCCATCACAGAGCCTGGCACGTGGGGATCAATGCCAGTACAAGACCAAGGGAAGCGTGAAGGAATTTTTGAATAAAATCCTGAGAACCTACCAAGCAATCAATAAGCATAGAGCTTAAAAAAAAAAAAAAATTAAAAAGCTTTTTTAAAAAAAACCAACTCTTTGATAAGAAGGGGGAACAGGGAAGTTATTTATTGTATTTATTGTCCACCTGAAATATAAAAGGTATAGATAACTGCTAAAGAAATAAAACTATAATTTACCTGAGCACCAAAATCATTCAAGTCTTCATTTTATATGTTCTGTACTTGGTGAAAGGTTTGAACATCCTGTTTTTGTAACAGTGGGTGTCAAAATGCTTCTGCAAAGCTCTAGTCCAACAATTTCAGTCATGTGAGATGCTACAGCAAAATGCACATTCTGACCACTGTATAGTACCAGCAATATTTGCGAACTTGAGATTCAAACAGAAATTCTGTGTTTTCTTTCTTCATCACTTTTATTTTTTGATAACATCACACATCATGAATATGTAGCTTAGCTTCTTTCTTGAAAGGTTGCAGATTTTCCTGCCCACGGCCACTTTTTTTTTTTCCTTAAACATTCAGTAGTAGAGAACTCATTAACTTCTTTACATACAAAAGCAAGACCATACCCAGGGTTAATTACAAGTTCTTAATGGGCTTGTGTATTTGGAACTTGTTGTGGCCAACTGTTAACACTGGCTTTGGACAAGATATTTCTATAGTGCTATGAACTCAGATGTGCTTCTCAACCACCTCTCCACTCAGCTCAACAGAAACAAAAGAGGCAAAAAGGGAGCTTTGCTGGAAGAAACCCCCACATATAAGGGCAGACGCTTATCTCAGCCACCTATTCCAGTCTCACTAGTAGTTTCTTAGATCTCTTCACAGAAGGGAAAATCCCAAACAGGGGAGAGAAGGTCAGATTTCATCTTCTTTGTGCCTCAGACAGGAACAAAAGAGATGAGGCATTGTAGCAGGACTGGCCTTTGAGATGGAGGATCTTAGAAGACCTCCAATGACGTCATTTCTCCACCACCTCCACTGAAGTACAGTGGATTTTTCAGACTTCGAGGAAGAGACACAGGAATATAATTTCCTTTCTTTTTTTTTCAACATAAAGTTTGATATTGATGGGATGAACATGTTTCTAGGATCAAAAGCATGACGGAAATGTTCATCAACTACATTATTATTCTTAAGTTTTCCATTAATATGCGCTTGGGGGAAAACACAGAACTCGATTGTAGAAAATGCATCTGATACAACTATATAAAAGGAGTTAAACTTATGTAATATATATCAGATCAAATGCATTTCTTGATGTGTTTCTGCGACCTGTTTCAAATATGATAATAAGATAATAAATACTAAAATACAAAAGACTATTTCTGTGGTAACACCTACACAGCTGAAACCAAGAAGTAAAACAACTACTTTGCTTTTCTCACATTTTCATATTCTCCTACATTTTCTACTCCAAGTTCAGCTCAGATAGCTTTCTCCTAAACAAACATTTTTTTCTGCGTTCTATTGCAAAGAAAAATCATCCACATTTCTGACAAATCAGCAGAATGCTTACACGTGGTCCTGATCTTGAACAGGAAAAAAAAGGCTCAGGAACATCCATAGATCTTATGGAATCTATGATATCAGATCTCAAATTTCCAAATATTGTCTCACCAAATACTGAGATCAGTCTTGTTAATATTTTCAAAGTGCAAGTCCAAGCTATTTCTGTGTTTCCATGATGCTTTGCTTTTCATATCTTTCTGTGTGCAGCTCACCAGCATTGCGCCTAGTCGTAACTTGTAACAAGCGTAAAATCTGAAAAATGCGGATTCATTTTTATAGATGAGCAAAAGGCTTCCCAGGTCCTGGGACTGCAGGCAGCTATTCTAACCCATGTTTTCAGCAGCTGTAAGGAAAAGAAAATTCTTTGTCTATATACTTTTACTCCCCAAACAACTTAATTAGATTTACGAAATAGATACAGTAATTGTGAAATTGTGGCACAAGCAAAAAACTCATCATAAATTCAGTTCTACTCGACATAAGCTGGCAAGAATCAACTGCAGTCAGTCATCTTCCAGTCAAACAATCTCTGCAACACGGTAATAGGAAACTTGCACAGAATTTGAAAAAACAACCAAACTTACTAAACTGCAGAAGATACATCTGCAAAATATCTACTCATCTGACGCCTCGGTTTGCAATCTGCGCAGAATTGTTGTTGTGTGCTTAAAGCACTCAGCACAGAATTGTGCAACCTGAAATAAATGCCTCCACAGCCGTCTGTCATTGTGCACGGCACCCCTGGCAACTGTGAGCTGATGTGAAGCGTTTGCTTGCACTGGTGACCTCCTCCAAACTCCTGTGATCTAGAGCCCAAAAAGGTGGTAGTCCTCCACCCTCTGTGTTTTAGTCCTCTGCCTCCCCACAGGCATATTCAGATCTTCTCCGTGGGACTCTAATGCCTTGCAAGGCTTTGCAAGCCCCAGGGCAGCCCTGTGGGAAGGGCTGCATGTCTCTTGGTGGGACCGAGCATCCCTTCAGCCAGCCCTGGGTGGGCCACCCCTGAGCAGACGTGGAACCCAACAGATGCTCGTGGGCCTCCTCTCTCTCTCTTGAGTTTGGTTCACAACAGGATTGTGAAACTGCCAGATGAAAACAAAAGGAAACTAATCCATTTGGTTACTTAATTACTGTAACAAGTACCTTTTTCTGTTATCTCAATTATCTTTCTCTAGCAACTCTCTAGCAAGACGTGTCATACTACAATCTGATGGAGAGGATGTGGCATAGGGCTGGGGGGACAGAGGAGTTGAAGAAGGGCAAACATTTGGTATAGAAGATTACTTGTCTGCACAAGTCAATTACATTGTGGAATAGATTTACAATGGGGAATTAATAACCAACTGTGATTTTAGCAAAGAACCCTTCTTCCAACCATTTATACCCGTCCAAGTGTTCATGGCAAGGTGCGTGCTTGTTTTCAAGTATGTACAGTTCCACACTTGCCTTGCTTCTACGACTCACATCAGGAAAAGGAGGCTGCCTTATGATTTCTGAGACAGAAACCCTTGATATCTGAGGATGAAGGGTAGGAGTGGCTACTTTCTGCAAACTGGAAAGTAACACCATTATCTCCGTATGGAGCACCACTCTCTTCAGAGTTAAGTGTTGGGAATGTGCAGACCAATTCCACACCACATACCACCACAAAAACATGATTTTTCCCATTAGCATGAAGCAATGTTAAATTCCATGCTATGAGTGACCCAAAGGCACTTCAGAAGCTACTTTACTCTTCAGCAAAGAAGAATGGTCCCAATTCTTCCCTTTCTCTGAGAGGTTTTGTTGCTGACAGCAGTCAGCCAGAAATCCATTCACAAGATCTGCAGTTCCACAGTAGCATTCTCTTAGTTTGGGCATCCACTTAGTAGCACGGCTATTACAAAACTCCTGGTGTTGTCTTCAGAAACCTGGCTAGGACAGCATTATATGCTTGAGTCTCTGCTATGATACTTATCAAGGCAGAAGTACAGCAGCAGAGCCAAAGCTCTTGTGCTCCACTCCACTATCCCTGATTTTACAGAACTCCATGACCTGCTGCAGGACAAGCACAAGCCCTAAGCAGTGTCAACAATCTAATAAGAAACTATCTCCAATGGCATATAGGTGAACACCGGTTTTGAAGATATTTTTGGAGGGACTAGAGCTGCCCCAGTGCATCTGGTATGTTCTTGTTTTCTCTCAAGTCTCTTGCACCCCTGTGAGAACAAGTCTGGTATATGCCATGCTATGGGAAGGAGAGGCACTGGGCTGTCATTCAAATGCTTCCCAGTTATAAATCACACTCTAACTAAAAGGAGTTTTACATATTTGTATAAGAAAGCTGATCTTATCTGACTAATCCTCACAACACCCTCCTGAGGCATGCGGACAAGCCTCACTCTTCTAGTTTTACAGAAAGTTAAGAAAACAAGAGTTTGGTGAGAGGGAGAACTCATTTCTCCCCAGCACTCTGCATTTTATGTTTTTCTGAAGACCAATAGCATTTGCTTGCAGAGCTCAAAACACACCAGGGTTTAACATCACCAAGACACAAATGACAGCACACATAATAATAGGTGGTGCTACTGGGAAGACTAAAGCCAAAGTAACTTCCATTTCCAGTCTGCTTTCCCCCCAGATAAGCCTGTATGTGCCCACAACTGGTTATAACTCCCTTCCTATCCTCTTTATTGGTCTCCCACTTTTGATTCAATCAACTACAAATTCTCCAGAAGTTAGAACTAAAAATTCCCAAAACTTTTATATGCATCTCTCATGGAAGTAACCATGGTGATCTATAAATTACAGCATCTTCATGGACACACTGCAGTGTAAGTCGCACACCAAGCACCAGTTCAAACAGCCATCTTTTGTTGTCTTATATGAACTTCTGTAAATAATCCTGAATGTTCACACTACTGTTATGAGATACAAGATAAATGTTTTCTTCCTGTTGAGACACAGAATGGATTATAGCTCAGCACCAGCAGCACAGCTCAGGCAACCACAGGAGTGAAGGGGCTGGAAAGAGAAGGCAAAATTCTTCACTAAAACAACACCTTCTGATTCACAGACGGGCTTTAAAAATCAAAGATGCTTACAAATGAGCAATGTGTCTGAATTGTTTCTGCTACTTTAAATCTAGTAGTGTAGTAATACATGAAACAATCCTAAATTTATATTAGGTTATAATCTAGAAAAGATGACAGTAAGTAAGAAATTACATTAAAAATATTTTTCCATGTAAAATATCAGTGAGATTTCTTTTTACTTATGTCAGAAACAACATCATCAAGAGGCTTCACAAGAAAACAGATGCCCTTGATTTGTTTATTGTGTTTGTATTGCTAGTTTTTAATTTGATAACTTTAAAACTAAATAAAATATTTTCCAGGGGTAATAGGTCAACAAAAAGCCCAGGAGTGAGGGGAGTTTCCCCTGACTCCCCACAAAATTGGATTTGTAAAAGAGCAAAATAAAAGGGAAATCATGACTTAAGAGATGCAGATAATGATCAGCCTAGTTCTGACTTTGCAAGCAGCCTGTGGGAGAGAAGAGAGATAT